GAATCTTTACACAAGTTTTTAGAGAAATTTTGGAGCCTCAACGTCTGTTTTCTGTGGCTATCTTATATCGAGCTCTTTTCAATAATTGCAACATGTGAATAATGCAGAACAAGTTTAAAATTGTTCTAGTGCCAAATTGGTTTTGAAGGAAGGTCAAACTACAAACGAACAGCTCAGCCGCTCTGAACCCTATGAAAATGATGCTTTCCCAATATGGTTACCTTACCTTACCAATCAGGCTAAGGCCTTGTTGTCCTCTGCTGTCCGAAGAAGTCGTCTCCACTCTACTCGATCCATGGCCACAGTTCGCCAGCCTCGTAGTCTGCGAAGGGTCCGCAGGTCACCTTCTACTTGGTCGATCCACCTTGCCCGCTGCGCGCCTCTTCTTCTTGTTCCTGTTGGGTCGCTTTCTAGAACCATTTTCACTGGGTCGTCGTGCGGCATTCTTACGACGTGCCCAGCCCACCGTAGTCGCCCTATTTTTGCAATGTGGACGATGGATGGTTCTCCCAGCAGCTGGTGCAATTCGTGGTTCATTCGCCTCCTCCACGTTCCGTCATCCATCTGCACTCCACCGTAGATGGTACGCAACACCTTCCGTTCGAAAACACCAAGGGCGCGTTGGTCCTCCACGAGCATAGTCCAGGTCTCGTGGCCGTAAAGGACCACCGGTCTAATCAGCGTCTTGTAGACAGTCAACTTCGTGCGGCGGCGAATTTTATTCGACCGGAGCGTCCTCCGGAGTCCAAAGTAGGCACGATTCCCTGCCATAATGCGTCTTTGAATTTCTCTGCTGGTATCATTTTCGGCGGTCACCAGTGAGCCCAAATACACGAACTCATCGACCACCTCGATTTCGTCACCGTCAATCTGAACTCGGGGTGGGAGGCTAACATTGTCTTCCCTAGAACCTCTTGCTTTCATATATTTTGTCTTTGATGCGTTGATGGCAAGTCCAATCCGTCTAGCTTCAGCCTTCAGTCTGATGTACGTTTCCGCCATCATCTCAAAGTTCCGTGCCATAATGTCAATGTCATCGGCGAAACCAAGGAGCTGGATGGACTTCCTGAATATCGTGCCACTCGTGTCTATCCCAGCTCTTCTGATCACACCTTCTAACGCGATGTTGAACAGCAGACACGAAAGTCCATCACCCTGCCGTAACCCCCTTCGAGATTCAAAGGGACTCGAGAGTGTCCCCGATACTCGAACAACGCACGTCACTCGATCCATCGTCGCCTTGACCAATCGCGTCAGTTTATCCGGAAATCCGTACTCGTGCATAATCTGCCATAGCTGATCTCGATCGATTGTGTCGTATGCGGATTTGAAATCGATGAACAAATGATGTGTGGGCACGCTGTATTCGCGGCATTTCTGCAGAACCTGCCGAATCGCGAAAATTTGGTCCGTGGTAGCGCGGGCACCCATGAATCCCGCCTGGTATTGCCCCACGAACTCTCTTGCATATGGTGACAGACGGCGGCATAGAATTTGGGAGAGTACCTTGAAGGCGGCGCTCAGCAGTGTGATCGCGCGGTAGTTGCAGCAATCCAACTTGTCGCCCTTTTTGTAGATTGGGCATACGACACCTTCCATCCACTCCTCCGGTAATATCTCCTCCCGAATATAAATTTACATTAGCCCAACGTTTGATTTTGATGTCTACATCAGCATCGAAATCAAATGTATGCCTGATGTCAAACATTAGAAAACATTATGATTTAGTTGTATTTAAGCAACGTAACATGGTGTATACATCAGAAATTTTGGAACAAAATTTTGCCATTCTAATGTCGGTCTGACGTCAAAAATTTCAATCTATTGACATTAGAATCAAACGTTTTAAGGATGTTTTCAGATGTAAAAAACGTTAGAACTAAACGTTGTTCGGATGTTTTTAAATGTAAACGTTTTCTGATGTTTTCTAATGTAGATGTTTCCTGATGTTAGAACCAAACGTTTTTGGATGTTTTCGGATGTAAAAAACGTTAGAACTAAACGTTGTTCGGATGTTTTTATATGTAAATGTATTCTGATGTTTTCTAATGTAGATGTTTCCTGATGTTAGAATCAAACGTTTTTCGGTTGTTTTCGGATGTAAAAAACGTTAGAACTAAACGTTGTTCGGATGTTTTTATATGTAAATGTATTCTGATGTTTTCTAACGTAGATGTTTCCCGATGCTAGAACCAAACATTTTTTGGATGTTTTCGGATGTACACAACGTTAGAACTAAACGTTGTTCGGATGTTTTCAATTGTACTTCGTGTTTGTTGTTCTCTGATGTTTTCAGATGTACAAAACGTTTAAAGTAAACGTTGTTTGAATGTTTTCAAATGTAGATGTTTACTAATGTTTTTAGATATACAAAACACTAGAATCTTACTTTTCAAATGCTTTCAATTATATTTACAACACATTAGAATTAGAAACATGATCGTGTAAACACTACACACCATTGTTGTTAGATAACATCATAAAAATGCGTACATAATAGTCAATGCTGAAGCTCCCGTTTCCCACCAGTCAGATAACTGACCTTAGCTAACCAAATATCATTGCGGCAACTCTCTATGCGGCAGGGGAACTATGCCATTAGCGCGCTAAGAGTTATTAGACCACTGACATAGGCGCCAATTTGTAGGTGACGAGGCACTTGGTGACATTACAGCAAGCTTGGCGATTGTTATAGCATTTTTGAGTGAACTACCAGACAATCATGACAATAAGATCGCTGCGCCTCCAGATCTCCCTTTAAATCGACCCGCTGTGCCAATTTGTCAATAATGCATGACACTTTGGACGTGGATCGGGATGATCCACAAATGCGGAAAGTTTTGGGCTACCAGTCTTCTACCTAATTGACGAACTGCAAATATATAATAAACAAAATTATTGTGCATGAAAAATATGACAATGTACAATGCTCGAGGAACACTGGGAGTTTTCGAACGACGCGTGCTTAGGAATGCCGGACAACAATCCCGCAAAAATGGTGTTTTCCTCAAATCCGGCCGGTACAAGACAAAGAAAAGTACAGCGTGCTACACAGCAAAAAAAGTTGTTGAATATTACATCGAAACTGCTGCAACCAGATCAATCCATCGGTTGTGTAATATCACATTGTACGATGTACACAGAATCAAATGATGTGACACACAAAACCGATGTAATTTTTCTGACGTAATAAATGTGATGTACACAGATGCGATGTAAACGAAGCGATATAATAGTGATGCGATGTAATAGTGATGCGATGTAAAAGTGATGCGATGTAAAGAAGAAACGATGTATAGGTATACGTGGCTGATTAAATTGCTTTGTTATCTTTTTTCTCACATAAATTTTAATCAGTTGTAAAAACTGCAGTTACTCAGAGCTACAAATAATCGCAGTTTTTACAGCAGAGTAAAATATGCGTAAGAAAAGAGATAGCAATGCAATTTAATGAGCAACTGAGTAGGATTCAACGGCGTTGCAAAAAGATGTTTGTTTTCGAAGGAAAAAAGAACAAATACCTAATAAAAATTGTATTCAATATATTTATCTGTCCTTTAGCGGCGGCAGTAAAATTCATTCGCACCAAACACGGCAGCAGAGGACGGATTTTTACGTCGAGTTGTCCGCCGGGTTGAAGGGTGGACCACCGGCTGGTAGGAGCCATGGACCATGGACAATTAACAATTATTTGGTACAGCCATCTGAATGGACTTCCTCCGGGACTGCGTAGAGCACTGTCAGTGTTAGTCAGCATGGAGGGCTCCCAGAAAGCATGGCGTCTCTTCCTAGTTCACCCAGTTCACCGTCTGGTTGAAGAAGGCAAGACATCTCGTCGCAGATGTTCTGAAAAGATAAAAGCGAAATCGGCAATAAATCAACTGAGACCTAACATTTGAAAACGGCACATAATCATTTATAAACAAACTTTTGTGGACCCTTTACTCGCCACCCGAGGTACGCCCACGCAAACCAACAATATCATTAGGAAGGGGAGAATTTGTCCCACCCAATAGTGTTTTTGGTTTGCATGGGCGTACTTCGGGTGACAAGTAAAGGGTCCACTAAAGTTTGTTAACGCCGTTTTCAAATGTTACTTGAGAACTAAAATATAAAGAAAAACATATTAGAACTTACAGATTACGGCTTCATCTGGTACTACGTGGAGTACTGCGCAGTGTTGGTCGGCATGAAAGACTTCCAGAAAGCATAACGACTAGTCTCCGTTGTGTTGAAGGGCAGGAATTGGGTGGTAGGAGCCATGAACCATGGACAATCAGCATTCCTACTGAATTCGGGTCACGTTGAAGGTACTGCTAGCTGAATGGACTTCCTCCGGCACTGCGTGAAGCACTTACAGTATTGGTCGGCATTGAGGGTTCCCAGAAAGCATGGCGTCTCTGCCTAGTTAACCGTCTGGTTGAAGGCAAGAAATCTCGTCGCGGATGTTCTGCAAAGATAAAAACGGAATCGTCAATAAATCAACTAAAATTTGTAAAAATTATTTCAACTTACAGGTTGCGGCTTCCTCTGGAAATGCGTGGAGTACTGCACAGGGTTGGCCAAAAAATTACGACTGCGTATAGTTCTCCGTCAGGCTGAAACGCGGTCCACCGGGTGGTAGAAACCCACGATCCTTCCGTCACCATGGACAATCAACATTCCTGCTGTCACGTAGAAGATACAGCTACCTGGTTGGACTTTCTCCGGCATTTTGGTTCAAGGGAGGACCATAGGGTGGTAGAAACCCAGGATCATTCGGCTTTTGGCGATATTTTTTATCTTTCGTTGACGCATCCCGGTCAAATGAAGGTTTTCTGATTAAACTTGCAGATAGTTTTGCTATAGTATAATAGTTTGAATAGAGAATATCTGATTAAATAATTCTTATAACAAAAACAGCAAACGAAAAAACACTCACCACGGAAAGCAACGTTCGATATTTGTTTCCTGGTTTTGCGGAGAGATATACCATTTTAAATCAACGTTAGGACGTTCGCCAAGATATATATTCCGATTAAATGACGTTTTACGTGAATGAAGACTTTTCTCTCTCATCGAAAACATGATGTGTGCAAAATGCTTTTCGGTTTTTGGATGTGGGTAAAATGCTTTTTAATTTTGGAAGCAATGGCATTTGAGTAGGCTGGACTAGTTCTTATTTTCGGTCTGTTGTTTTCTCCAATCCAATTTTGATATTTTTGATATTAATGAAGTCACCATACGCTGATGTCTTCCAACAATAGTGGCCGTTGAGCGCGTGCCATTTTCTGGATACAGCTTCAAAAGGAACATTTGGAGAAATTCTAGTGTTTTGGATACATCTTTAGGATATTTGTAGAAATACACAAAATATACAGCCAAAAGCTGCTGGAACGCATGAATGATATTATTGACGCCTAAGGTCAATAGTGTGTTTTCGGCCTGAATAAAAAACTTTTGCCCATTGTCGGTCTGATCTGAAAAATTAATGAAATCAATTATTGTATTTTGCATTTCTAACTAGACTCCTAAAACCTGCAAAATCGCTCATCGTCTTGGTTTTTTTCTGCGCATTTTTTCACAGGGTGGCCAGTTAAAATCAATTTTGAAATTCTCGGTTTTCCAGGTTCAAATCACAAAATTTTCCAAATTGAATATTAATATTCAACGAAAAACGAAAGTGTTGTTTTTTCAAAACCGCAACCATGTGCAAATTTTTTAGGTCATGAGAAAATTATTTTCAGTAGCAAGACTGCAGCAAGCATTTTATGAAATTGAAAGTATAACTTCTTTATTAATAAGTGTAAGTGTAAGGACCACTTATTTTTTTTTTTCAAAAAATATGTTTCAACTTAATTGGCAAGTGCACTTTCAAATTCTAACCTCAAATTTTGTAAACAAATCACCCCAAACTGTCAATTAGTTGCTTAAGGAAAATTGATATTGGTTTGAATCGAATGGGTCATTTGAACCCATTTCGGGAATTTAAACATTGGACATCGAAATTGATTGAGAGATCTTGAACTTGGAAAATTAAGAATCAGAGAGATAATTCGAGATCTCGAACTATAAACAATTCTCAAGATATCGTAGTTTTAGGGACTTCGAAAAATTTCCATAACTCTGAGACTTTGAAAAAATGTGCGGGTCTCGGCGATAGATTTTTTTTCGAGATCCCAGTCTTGTTATTTTTTATGACAAAATAAATAACAATGGACGAAAAAAAAATAATTATTTAATTAAATAATGAAAAAAATAATATATTAATAATAAAAAAATGTTTTTGTAATTTTATGAAAAATCGCAGAGGAAATTTCAATTCTAAATTGGGCATTTTCTTTTGCCCCATTATTATTATGGAATTTGCATAAGCCTATCGACATATTTCCATTGATGTAGAAAAATTACGTTACTAAAAATTTAAAAACTTTTGGTGAGTCAAAACAAATTATGAACCAATTTCTGTTAGATTTTAAATTTTATGCAGGTTAGTGGTATCAGGGACGTCCAACATTACATATTCATTCATCTCTTAGAAGTTTGAGATAAAAATTACGGAAAATTAAAAAAAAATGTGTACCAATAATTGAGAGAAAAGTAATACCACAGACAAACAGACATAAGACATTGAATATTTCTCATTGCAAAACATCGTCGCAAAAACATTACCGCCATCTGTTGAGTACACTGTGGTGGGTAGCACGCAGAACAGATGGCGGTAGTGTGTAAACGCCAAACGCAAGGGAATTGACTATGCGCGCCACAGGTGGCGGTACTACCAACTACGATACTTTTAAATTGACCGTGAAATGCTTGTTCGATGAACAACTTGCGAGTGTTATGTCTGTTTGTCTGTGGTAATACAAAAAGTAATAGAGGTGAAATCACAGACAAACAGACATAACACATTGAATATTTCTCACTGTAAAACATCGTCGCTAAAACATTACCGCCATCTTTTGAGTACACTATGGTGGGTAGTACGCAGTACAGATGGCGGTAGTGTGTAAACGTCAAACGCAAGGGAATTGACTATGCGTGCCGCAGGTGGCGGTACTACCAACTACGATACTTTTAAATTTACCGTTAAATGCTTGTTTGATGAACAACTTGCGAGTGTTATGTCTGTTTATCTGTGGTGAAATCTACATGATCCAGAAATCATTGATTACTACTTTAGTTTAATTTTCATAAACTTTATGAATAGTTTGTACAAACATAGTGAAAGTCTATCGTCAATGAGAAACTTTTACAAAAAAAAATAATCTATACACTTTAAATAAATGCATGTTAAAGTTTTTGTGATTCATCCCGGTTCTCTCATAGAATTCCCGGATTTTTCCGGGTTACTTTTCAAATTCCCGGTTATTTCTCAGTTTTTCCGGTTCACTGGCCAAGCTGTTTTCGTTATGATGCAAGGAAAAAGTGGGCCGAAGACAACAAAACAATTTTTACGTAAACGCGCACTTTTATTAGCGTTTTCGCACTTTCCGTCAATGTGCACAATATGCTATATTAACACTTTAACCAAGGTAAGTATAAGGGAGGTACTCCAATCTGTCAGATTATGCATTCTGCCATATTGGAATGCACTACGACCAAGGGGGGGAGGTGACTGTCAAATACGAACAATCTTCGCCTACCTCGCATAACTGGTTCCAAACGTAAACAAGCCATAAGAAATCTACAGGGTTTGTTTACGTTTGGAACCAATTTCATACAAGAATGATCAGTAGGCTGATTTGACAGCACGTCCCACCCCAGACTTCGACAGCTGGCGAGTTACTTTCACGCTAAAATGCACATCCCTAATAATCTTAAAATTTACACATACTGAAATTATCGATAATTATCAATTACCTAACATTTAGCAAACGTTTACTATATTTGTAGTATATTGTTATTAAAAAAGAGCCTATTGTAAGCAAAAATTAACGTTTTTTATCGATAAGTTGCTTTTGTGAGTAACTCTTTTTGACCGTGTCAGCCAGCTGTCATTTTCCCGCCCCCACGCAGCATGTTTCCCTGCGCTCCCCACACCCACTGACTAACCAGATCGGACTACCTCCCTTCTACTTACCTTGACTTTAACCAATAACTAAACTAATCCGAATTAACTTACCAAGGAACACAATTGAAGGGAAGTTATCAGTTGACTGCATCTCATGGATATCCTGTGTAAGTATTGCAAAAAAAAAAAACAATTCAAAAGATATTAGTTTGTGCACTGACAACGAAAGGTCAAAGGGCCATGCGAGTGAACAATAGTGCAAGAATCCCTCCATTTACGCGGTTCGTGCAAATGTAGCAATGTTGGATTTTTACTGTATAAAAAAAACAATCAGATACAAGCATGTTTGAAAAGAGTGATTCACAAATTATGTCACGCTCTAAATGGGAGCGGGGCGAAGAAATGTGCGACAAGCAATATATTGGGTATAGGAAAAACTTGATGAAGAGAAGAGGGGGGAGGGGGGTCGGGGTTAATATTTACTAAATTTCACGTGACATAATTAAAGCATGACCCCATCTGATTTTTCTTTGAATTTTTTGAAACTAGTTGCATTGAATTTAGTTGAAAATTGAGATCACACGATCAAAAATAGCATCCAAAAAAGTGTCGTAAAAAGAGATAGAAGTGTATCTATAAACGGCAGGCAACATATGACAAATATATTCATTTACCTCAATTTCGTGAATTAACGATGAAACATTTTCCCCAAGCAATCTTGAAACGCCTTCAAGTACTTCAAAATCAGATGCTTTAGATGGAATATGCAGCGGTCGCTTGTAAGACTTCGACACTTCGATTAATTTTGCTCTTTTTTTCGCGAAATTAGTACTGAATGCTTCAGCACTACACCCAGTGGCTCTATAGAAATGGTAGTTTAGAACCTCGTTCCTACCAATCGATGGCAATTCCTGATGCAGCGTGTGTAGATTGATAGAACTGTCAATTTTATGGCGAATGAATGCTTCTGTGCCAATCAAAGCATCTTCGTTCAAGTTGTCAACTCGTTTTCTTGTAAGCACAATTAAAAGGTCTTTACTACAATGATTTTTACCGGATTTGAAGTATTCTGGGCGTACACCCACTGTACATCGACGATTGAAGCAAACCTTGCGACGTGTGGTATGTACTTCACTTCGATGGGCTCTGTTTAAATAAGCATTATGATTGCGTAGTTTGTCAGCTAAACTATTAGACCCGTCACCTATGGTATGTCCTTCGTCATCGCAATCTCGGAGTGTGGGATATTTGTTGATGATCTTTAGAGCAACTCTTCTAAAGACAAAGAACGGAATCTTTGAACTTGTAGTCCTTATTTGAGCAGTTAAGTGGTCAACAAATCGGTTATAGTTTGTTTCCGATATTCCCCTGTATCCAACGTTAGGTTGACGGCCTTGCAGCTGATGCATTACGTCGTTTGGAATTATTTTCCAGTCGACTTCGAATTTGGCCAATTTAACTGACGTAGGAAGGTCATTATTTTTAGGAGCGACTGGAACTTGTGCCGTACACTTTTGGCTGAGGGTGTTAGGATCAGGTGTAGCAGCAGTGTCGTCAACCCCTTGTGACGATGAATTTTCTTCCACTCCTGAGGTGACGGATACAGACAGCGTGTCGTCTTGCACGGATAGTTGCGAATCATTTACATAGATATTAGAACAGTATGCTTCTTCGCGCGTGGTACAAGTTGAAGCGATTGACAGGATACTCGAGTATTGATCTGTAGACAGATTCGCAATGCGTTTGTGAGTCAGATGTGCACTATCGTCCAAAGATAGTTTTCGTTTCTCTAACCTTGATGTGCTCGGTACTGCCAGAGGGTCTTCTTTAGTTGAAAGATTTGATACACTGGCATTGACAATATCACAATTGCCATATTCAATAGATAATAGTGCAGAATTGATGGCACTTGGTGGTTGACAATTGAGTAGCTCTTGAGAAATCTGAAAATATATAATGAGAGAGAGAAAAAATGTTCAATATAATTATTATGAAGATTGATGCCACCCAACAAATAAGGTCAATAAGTGATATAGTTCTAATGTGGATTTAAAGATTAAAAATATAAATACCTGATGTGTAAAATTGCGCAATCATTTTTTTCTTTCTATTTTAGTCATCATTTACTGATTGGAAAGCACCCTCATCCCATCTAATGAATGCAATTCAATAGTGAGGATAGTATTTAAACTATTAAACTGTAATTTTTCATACAGAACAGCTCCCAAGATCTCTACCAAGTAACAACAATGAAATATCAAGGCTACTTCAACAACATTTACTGACGAGATAACTGATTTTTAGTTGGGACGTCACCCCGATCTCACTACCGAACTAGAAAGCAACCCAACGAGAAAGCTCCCACCGAGCGAATGATAGGGTAACGGAGGTTTGGTCCGCTTTAGGAAGTCAGTATAAATTAAAAAAAAATATGATTTTGTTAAAATAAATGGTAAATTTATCAGGTCATTACAAAGAGCTGAATGTTTTCTGCCAAAGGAAATCGTTGCACAACGCAATTTGACAAACAAGTAAGCAGAACATGTGGACCAATACATTTTATTTTGGACCACCAATAAACCATATAACACTCCGAAAATATGTGGTGTAGTGGTAAATGTGATTGCCTCTCACCCCAAAAGGCCTGGATTCAATCCCAGTTGGCGCCTCCGTATTTTCTGAGGTATCCCTGTTACCTGATCACGAAGTAAAGCCGCTGGTACCCGGTCCCTGGGTTGATGGGTCGATAGGTAGGGTCCAGGTGTGGGAGCTGCCTACCTGGCATCGGTAGCATTCATATTCAGTACGGAAAACAGATCGACGGAAAACAAATCAAAGAAAAAAAGACGCTTCTCTGAGCAACGGTTTCAATCGAATCTAAATGACGCAATAACCCCATTTATACATTTAAAATGTATACATTTTTACAAAACTCTTGAAAGGTGGGTACAATTATGCCACTTTGACTTTGGACCGATTCAGCACGAATGTGGAAATGCGTGAGTATATTTTCAATTTACTACCGCTAAATCATAAATGAAACGTTTTTACTGAAAACAAAAATCTAAGACGCTTAGTAGTGTAATAATTTTAATGTTACTTTCACAATATTCTAAAATTTTATAAATTTTATGAGTTAAAATGGTGGGCCAAAATATGATATTAGGCCAAAATACATCCATTATCCATTCAAAAATTCGTAAGAACTGGTTTTAGGGGTATTTTTTGGGTAATGCGTTTGCACTTAAATTGCCTTGAAATTTGCGGGAAAAGTTTTATACAAAGTTCGAATGTGGGTCCCATAGTCGTTTTTGTCAAAACTGAGTTTTTAAATGCATGTGGTAGCGCTAATCACACATATTTTCATAATACTAGATTAACTCAACAACTTTGTTCTGAAAAAGTTTGAAAGACAGGCAAATTGGTTGTCCTATCACATAAGCTGTCGTCCATCAATTATGTCACACATTTAGGGGGGAGGGGGGTTTTGAAAACTGTGACGAGCCATACAAAAAAAAAAATTAAGGTCCATACAAAAAATGTGACAAAGGGGGGAGGGAGGGGGGGTTGAAAATGGACCAAATTTGCGTGACATAATTAATGGACCATCCCTAAGAAGCAACGGTACGAAGCAAACTTAAAACGCGATTTTCTCGGCTTAATTACTTGTGATTAAGAGCCGTCTTGCCCCTTTTATTATACGTATAACACAGACAAACAGACATAACACTCGTAAGTTGTTCATCGAACAAGCATTTAACGGACAATTTAAAAGTATCGCAGTTGGTAGTACCGCCACCTGTGGCGCGCATAGTCAATTCCGTTGCATTTGACGTTTACACACTACCGCCATCTGTTCAGTGTACTACCCACCACAGTGTGCTCAACAGATGGCGGTAATGTTTTAGCGACGATATTTTACAGTGAGAATTATTCAATGTGTTATGTCTGTTTGTCTGTGCGTATAATACATTTAAAATCCTTACCTGTGTTTGCTGCGTGTTAAATTGGTCATTGTTACCAATGCTGAAAGTAAGGTTGCTTTCGGCTAGCGTCCATTCTTCAGAATTTTCTAATAGCATAAAGCTTAATCCCTCTGATGATAATAAATCTAGAACCTCGTCCTCGACGATCATGGATCCGTCTACTTCCAAAACGACCTTGGTAAAATCTTTTTGAAAATGTGATCGACCTGCAAGAGTAAAAAGTGTTTGTTGATAAACTAATGGAAACATAAAATCATTGCACTGTGCTTTTCTTGAAATTCAACAGATTAATGACCTGATTTTGTCAGCCAACATGCATCTTACTTTTATCTTTCAATAATGTTAACGTTATTCTAAATAATTCTCATGCATCTTTTAGATGGATGTTTAAGGTATAAATTGATTCAATAAGGCCACAAAAAGTTTTCATAGAAGATTACAAATAAATCAAAAAAGAGGCTGACAAATCGTGTCATAAAAAAAAATCGGTTCAGTTTAAATAAAATAAAATTGCAAAACTCACCTCTTGCTAGTAAGTTAACGATTGAAGGAACACATTTAACATATGATTTTCTTCTGTGCGCATTGCATATGCGAATAAGACGAAACATTGAAGAATTCATACTGTAAAAAATATGACAATTGTTATCAATAACAATCTTAATAAACGCTCTTTTACTTGTGACACACATGCTTTTTGTTCACATAAACCATGCTAAATAAGATCAAGCTAATTTGGGCTCAAGTTTACGATTGATGAAATAAAGACTTATAAAAACATTTAATTGTAGAATATCGTGTTGTGGAGAGTTGACGATTGTTTTGATCTTTACATGAGCAGGGCAGACACTGAATTTAAGAAATTTAAATTCCGATTATTCCCGAGTGCTCAACACATATTTCCCGGTTAAACAATTGAAGAAAAACGTTACGAAATATTATTTTAAATGTAGAAAACCGAAAAATAACTATTGAAAAACCAAATGATCTATTTTAAAATTTAATATCGCAATAAAATGTCAATAATATTCAGATATGTCCATAATTGTACACAATTCAGATTATTTAAAAAGACAACTGGAATTTGATATTTTTCCATAAGTTTTAAAAAAAAAAATACGTGTCTAGGAACAGTTCTATAGAATAAATTTGAATTTAAGCCCTTGGGCTGATACATTTTTTGAAGATCACATGAGGACATTATCAAGATTCATAGCTAATCATTCTTGAACTTTGCGAGATTTGTTACTTCAAATAGGCGAATTTTTGATCTTTTTGATAAGGGTATTAGTTCCTCTTTCTTATGGTTTAATTGTTACTTTCACATTGTGGTAGGTATGATTTTCAATTAGGCTTGGATTTTTAATTTTTTGTCGAATCGGTAGACAAGACGTTTTAGCAAGTTAAAACTAATTAATATTTTTCGCTGAATGCTTATAAAAATATGTAATATTCAAAATGCTTCATAGTGGAATTTTTATTTGCACTACTGAAAAAGTGCACGTGGCATTGAGTTCTGCAGCGGCTGAAGCACAGGAATCCTTAGTGACCTTGGGTTGGAAGATGTTAAACTTGTTCCGTTGTTCGCGGACAATAGAGGGAGTGTATCAGAATGGCGAAGAACGTCAAGTGCAAGAGGGTCAAGCACCACTTCGATCGAGATCATGTCGCCACTGGAGGATTGACGGTAGAATCAATCCCTATGTTGGAACACATCTTTAACGAAGGCTTTGAACGCTGTCCGATTCGAAGGGTTGAGAAAGAAGCTGGGAGTGTTCGATCGAGAGAAGGTGAAGACGAAGTATGCATCTATTATTTGAATCTTTATCACTTTCTTTAGTCAATAACGAAGTGATCTTGTGTGTTGTCCGATGTCTAATTTTAAGTGTTCAGTGTGTACAACCTTTGGTTGGAGACGGTGTAAATTATTTGATGTTTTTATTGTCTATTTTAAGTTCATTTGAACTAACTTACCTTATTTTCTAGGAATGGCATGTTTATTGAACAAATACGTATTTCCCTGGCAGGTATATAACTTGAGAGGCGTAATGTCCGGCAGGTCTTTCACGTTCACACAGCTCAATGTTTTGGTACAATTGTCATCCTCAACAACTGGGATTCCGAGTTCCGTAAAATAAGTTGCACTCATTATTTCACCATATACAACAATGTCATTGGTGATGTCATTGTGAACGATTCCTTTTATCGAAATGGTATTAAAAGATTCCTCGTAGTCGTCATGCTCCATAAACAAACAGTGTCCAATTTTGAGACAAGTACCCATGTAGATAATTGAATTCACGTATTTGTAGTGTTGTGCATAACAATCAAATGATTCCATTATATGTCTTTCATTTTCGTCTAACTCATTACAGGTACGCACGATGCCATCGTACACAACCTTTTCATTGAATCTTTGCTTATCCGTACTTAAATACGCTTGCCAATACTGGTGTCTTTCGCTACATAGCTTCAAAATATTTTTGTAATTTCCTGCATGTCGCAGTGCTGTTTTGAAGTAAGAATGCTTGCGTTCACCGCTTAGAGTACTGAATTGCATAAGTGGTCCGTACTGAAGGATGAGATGGGGATAATGTGCAAGGTAGTGGTGTTTAGGCCGTAGAAGAGTCATAAAAAGAGATGATCTGATTTCTAAGTAATGACTTATCTCGAGTTTTAGCATCCCAACTTGCCTTACAGAGATCAGAGGAGCTGTAATTAAGTCAGTTATGTTTTTCAACATAATAATGAGTTTAAACGCAGGGTCAGCTTGAACTTTTTTGATCTTGATTAGTAACAAAGGTATCACTTGCATCATATGCCACATATCTATAGCTTTGCTAGTGACACACTTCTTTTTAAAATTAAGGTTGATCCTTGAGTTCAACTCAAACTTTTTCAAAAGATAGTTCAGCCTACTTTGTACATATTTTTCTCCAACCAGCTTGTTCCTGATAAATCGCCGAAATACTAGCATGATATCATAGTTGAAACATCCAAGAAACAAATCATGGGCCAAACAAGGCGGCATTCCGTATTCGAATAGTTGAAAATGTTTGAGTTCATTAAAAATCGTTGGTTTTTTAACACCTCTTATCGGATTTCCGCTACTGTAAAAATTCTGTAGATCTCTTTCATATGTAGTTTGATGCCTCATTTGACAGCTTTTTAGTGGAGAACGCCGGAAGTCTTCTAAGGTAGTGTAACAATACCGTGAACAATACTGCTGGGCTGAGAAATTTTCTACCAATCCAGCTATTTGATGTGTTCCTAACAGAGCAATACAAAATGTTAAACTTTCTTATAACTAACAAAAATATCGCCCATGACCTAATAGTGGCATGCATATACACAATTTTATTGAAAACGTACAAGAACTAAGGATACAGTCACACCACTTATAACCAACACTGTACAATGACCAACAAAAGAAATGCCGGATAATTACCGTAAACCACCCAAATCCTGCGCAGTTTAGAAATAGGAAAATTCAACTAAGTAGTAAAACAATATTATTGATACTAGCGATGAACTCTTTTTACCCAAAGGTAGTGCTGATATAAAGGGTGATACGGTCAAAATTTGGTCAAGGGAAAACGCGTGTAAATCGGTGAAATCGTTTATTTAAAAAATCAAATTAAATTTCATTTTCAAGTTCAATTAGTATAAAATTCAGGAAAAATATTCAGTTAGCCTTCCGCTTTTCCAAATCCGAATTGCCGGGCCTTACGCTTGACCCCTGCCATCAGATTTTGTACAGCCACCTTGTCCACCTTCTTCGCCGCAGAAAGCCAGTTTGCCTTGAACTGCTGCTCGCCCTTAGCAGTTTTTTTGGTCTTCTTTAGGTTCCGCTTGACAATAGCCCAGTATTTCTCAATTGGGCGGAGCTCTGGCGTGTTGGGAGGGTTCTTGTCCTTGGGAGCCACCTGCACGTTGTTGGCGGCGTACCACTCCATGGCCTTTTTACCGTAATGGCAAGATGCCAAATCCGGCCAAAACAGTACGGAACAACCGTGTTTCTTCAGGAAAGGCAGCAGACGTTTATTCAAACACTCTTTCACGTAAATTTCTTGGTTGACAGTCCCGGAAGCTATGAAAATGCTGCTTTTCAAGCCACAGGTACAGATGGCTTGCCAAACCAGATATTTCTTTGCGAACTTTGACAGTTTCATGTGCTTGAAAACATCTGCTACCTTTCCCCTTCCTTTTGCCGTATAAAACTCCTGTCCCGGAAGCTGCTTGTAGTCGGCTTTGACGTAGGTTTCGTCGTCCATTACCACGCAGTCAAACTTCGTCAGCATCGTCGTGTACAGCCTCCGGGATCGCGCTTTGGCCGTCGTATTTTGTTTATCATCGCGATTTGGAGTCACTACCTTCTTGTAAGTCGATAGTCCGGCTCGTTTTTTGGCTCGATGCACGGTTGTAGACGATACACCCAGCTTATTTGCGGCATCTCGGAGAGAGAGGTTAGGGTTTCGCTTGAAACTACCGGCAACTCTCTTTGTCGTCTCAGCGGCTTCCGGTTTTCGATTTCCCCCCGATCCAGACTTCCTGGCTGTCGAGAAACGTTCCCCAAACACTTTAATTACATTTGTAACGGTTGATTTGGCAACTTTTAGCGATTTTGCCAACTTTGCGTGCGAGTAGCTCGGATTTTCGCGATGCGCGAGCAAAATTTTGATACGCTGCTCTTCTTGCTTGGACGGCATTTTGACAACTGAAGAGTGAATTCCAAAATCAAAATAGGAGCAACATTCTACACACACACACCTTCAAAATGAGGGGTGTTCAGGTTTTTTTAATGCAAAATTGAAAGAAATACGTCAAGTTGATATTGCCCAAATTTTGACCGTATCACCCTTTAGTAGTATCACAGACAAACAGACATAACGCTTTGAATCTCTTTCACTATAAAACATCGTCGTTAAACACTAACGCTATCTGTTGAGGACACTCTCACGGCCATATACGCTCAATAGATGGCTGTAGTGTGTAAATGTCAAACGCAAGGGAATTGACTATGCGCGCCACAGGCGACGGTGCTGCCTACTAAGATATTATTAAATTGACCGTTAAACGCGTGTTCGATGAACAAGATGCGAGTGTTATGTCTGTTTGTCTGTTAGTATATTAGAAAAATATACACACACAAAACCTACGACCTAAACGTGTTAAAAAACGGAAATTGATTACTATGTAATTGTGCTTAATTCTGCGCATTTGAAAATTGCGATTCCTAATTCCACGCACTTTTAAAATCACTGTGATTGTTATATGTTTTCCTGTTTTCATTAGTACAATCTAATTAAACCTCTGGGAGGAGTGTCGGGTTAAACCTCATATGTTAGGGGCTAACCATTAAGTGCGTCCCGCTCTCGGGAAGGAGGTTTCCCTTTCACGTAACGTGCTTAATGGATGCTCCCTTAATAAAATCAGAAATACATAATTCGTCTTGATGTTAGTTATGAAGATTTTTCTGTAGTGGTAGGTGGGGCAATTTGGCCATAGGTTAGTGTTTTAGCGACGATGTTTGACAGTTAAAGATATTCAATGCGTTATGTCTATTTGTCTATGCTGGTAGTGTATATATGTTCCTTATCAAAAAATTGTAGACCCGTATTTTTTTATTTCGTCCTTAGGGTTCACCTTCCTGAGTTAGGGTGGTCCACAAAATCGACATTTTTGCTTATATGTATACCCTACTTTGAAAATTTATAACCTGTTAACTACTAGACCAATTTTCAATAATAAAAAAATAAAATAAAGGTATTTAAAAGGGCTATCTAGAAAAAAAACAATTCTTCTTCTTTTTTTTATTTAACGTCGGTCTCTGTTCCGCAATCTAGTGCCAATCACCGACGGACATCGATTGCCATCCATTGACAGCAATCGAATGTGCAGGAAGGCAGCTTCCACACCTGCGTAGGATATCGCACCCATTCAACACACATACATGGGGCGGGACCAACGGCTTTACTTCCCTTCCGAAGGAAGACGTGACCAGAGATTTTTATGCCTCAGAAAAATCCCACCGACCTCGGCTGGGATTTAACCCACACCCATTGGGGTGAGAAAGCAGTCACGCTTACCACTACACCACCGGCGCCGGCTAAAAAAAAAAAAAAAAAAAAAAAAAAAAAAAAAAAAAAAACAATTAACTGAAGGTCTACTGAATTCTAATATGCTAATTATTTTTTTTATGGATTTAACAACGGGGCAAGTGCATTCCCTATTGTGACTTACATAGTAGCTTTTATACGCCTTTCGTATATCCTGTATAAACATGCACAGACAAACAATTGGTCAAGGTACGGACTCTATGATAATAATAATATAATGCTGATTGCCGCTATACGTATAAATGTCCCATGGTTAAATTTACTTCGATGTATTTTAGAAACTTTCAAAGCAATTTTTTTTCGACGCATCATTTCAGCACATTTCAGATTGCTTAAACCTCGCATCATTCTTTTCTGTTTGCTGTGATACACAAAATGACGGTATATCTGAAATGATGCGTAGTGAAAAACTGCTTTTTATTTTTTCTAAAATACATGAACATAAAATACATAAATTATGCGTATAATGAAAGTTCCTATGGTATCTGATTCAGTAGTTGTTGTACCTTTCACATTACTATACTGCCGTTCTACGCATATCAGTCCCATGTTTCAACAGTTGCTTCTGAGAAAATCGCGAATAATGTTTCGAATCATTTCTGCTCATTGGAAGAAATATACGTTAAAACAAGTTAGCGCATTGTTCACATTTCAACAGAATCAATATGTTTTAGTGAAAACTACAGAAATTACCTTCAATGAAATAGTTAAGCCTATTTTTATACGAACAATATTTAAAGGGACTGTTATGCCTAGAAATTTACACTGAAGTAGGAAATTCTACGCATGTTAGTCCCACTAGGAACTGTTACTGTCAGTGTTGCTTTGATGGTCACGTTGCGTTTGACGTCTTTACTCTTGTGGTTACATGAGCGTGCTTGCGTTCTCCGCAGTTTTGGAAGATCCTAGATAGTTTGTATAGCTTTCAATCATTAAATTATACCAACAATAAATTTGTTGACACATCTATAAAACCATTTGAAGAATGGGCATCTCAAGAAACTAATGATGAATGCACTATTTAGAACATAAACTTCATAGCATCTTGTTCTACTCCTTAGCAAGATGAACGTAGGCCTAAAGGAGATTGTGCTTAATCATTTTGAGTCCAACCATAGATTTATGGCTGACATGCTGTGGACAAAAGATCAATAAGTTACACGATCGTTGAACGTGGGCTTCGATGATTTTAAGAAATACTTTGGAAGAGTTGACATGCACATGCAAATTTCTTCCGTACGGAGTTGACCTTTATACTACGTATTATTATATTATATAAGGGGCTTTTCATGAAACACGTAGACAGTGGTGGCACGAGTCCTGGAGTTTAACATTTTTTCCTTAACATTTGATACTTTTTGCGATAACCATTTTGACGACACACAAAAACAAACTGGCAAGCGGCAAAAATGTCATGACATTTCTAAACTGTTTTCTGCCAGCGACAGAACATTTTCGCACAAAGAAGCAGACAAGACCAGCGGCGCGCGCTACATAAATTTATGTCGTGTAGAATTTTGCTGATTTCTGGCTAATTACTGCATTTATTTGATGTTTATTGCATGGAATTAAATGATAAGAATGAAGACTGACCACTCATAAGCATTAATGTTAAAATTATGCGTAAATAAGGGAGTTGGTAATTTACTGTCACACGCAAGCCTGCAGCTAAAATTTCATTACAATAAACTGTTTGGAAAAATCAGGCTGCGAGATTTTATTTATTCTCTATCTCCGCTGTTCGCTTGGAATGTAGTTATAAACGGCCGCCCGTGTGCTGGCTGTTTTGTTTCGCTCTGGACGATGGTTTTTCAAAAAATGTACTGTTGCCACCTCTGCACGTAGACACTAGAGAGGGTCTAGTATAAGAGAGGAGCGGACTAGCTGGTTTTGAGCCAAACGAACTGTCAAAGCCAGAGTCAATCGAGCAACGGCATCTGGATTGCATTGGCAGTGTTGCTAGAAACTACCCATGCATAGGTTGCCAAGGCAGTTTGTTTTGAATCCGCTTCTCTTTTATACTAGACCCTCTCTAGTAGACACTATAGGGCGAGTGTGGGGGGTGGCGAGTGTCTACATTAGTGTCTAATATTGCATTTTTTTGAAATTAGAAACTGGCTTTTTTATATGAAATCCTGATTTTCTTAATATTTATCAACATTAAATAAAACTGCCACTCCCTAAAATAGTTCATACTGTTTCTTTTGATTGTATAAATCCTGTTTCCATAATTTGTGTACACAAATCGATTCGTAATGATAAATTCAGTCGAGAAAATCTTTGAGGGACACTTATGCGTAGAATTTCAACATGGGACAATTAGGCTTGATGTTGTTTTTATACAAACCCAGAACAAACAATATGTTTTTCTATTTTCAATCCAAACCCGCATAAGCGCGAACCATAAATTGACCTTACCTAAAATGGTTATAAATTGTTTATAATCCCTGCTAAACTTCAACTGAAATGGTTATGGAACTTTACATGAACGTTTAATGATAAAGTTTTAACCTTAAGTATTATAGTTTTTTGGAAGTGGACCTTACAAATAATGGGTTGTTAAGAACCATTACCATTCAACATTCTTGTTTTCTCCATACATTTTCGGAAAGAAAACTATACTAAAACCTTTTAACTTATGGTTTGAGAACATTAATGGTAATGGTTATGGTAACCAGTAAGGTCCATGAATGGTTTTGTAACATCGATCAACTTTATGTGGAATATATCGCGAATTGGTTGCCTGTAAATTACTGATTACCAATTCACGATATTTTTCACGTAAAGTTGAGCGATAATACAAAACCATTAAAGGACCTTACTGACTACCATAACCTTAACCATTAATGTTCTCAAACCATAAGTAAAAACGTTCTAATATAGTTCTCTTTCCGAAAATGTATGGAGAAAACAAGAATTTGGAATGGTAATGGCTCTTAACAACCCATTATTTGTAAGGTCCGCTTCCAAAAAACCCTAATACATAAGGTTAAAACTTTATCACACAAACGTTCATGTAAAGTTCCATAACCATTTCAGTTGAAGTTTAGCAGGGATTATAAACAATTTATAACCATTATCGGTAAGGTCATGTGATGGTTCGCGTTTATGCGGGAAGTCTACCTAAAAGAGTACTGTTTTATGAACAAAAGTGAAAAACGCCCAAAAGTAACATGGGACAGATACGCGTAGAACGGCAGTATATCAACTTAAAATATTTATGTAATATTCAAATTGTGTTTAGTGACTTTCATCAGTATCTGTTTGATTTTGGCAACATGACTTCAATGTCGTTAATTTACTTATGCTCTGCAGCTTGAAGTCTTAATCTCTGCTTAATTTTTTTAGATTGTCAGTATAATGGATCATTTTAGATGGCTGAGTTTTGAACCCACCACAGCTTGCATTTGGCGCTACTAATACGGACGATCCAATGTAAAATACTGTGGTAGCCACAGTACGGTCACAAACGAAGTGACAGACGGAGCGGCTCGAAAACTTTAGTGACTAACTTGCTTTTTCAATTTTTCAGTGTACCACATGGCAACACCACTACTACTGGATTGTACCACATGGCAACACTACTACTGGATTGTACTAGCATTTTTACCAAATGTATTAGAATGTTTTGGTTCTTTCTCTTTCACTCTACTCAAAACTGAAATGCATAAAAAAATGACAAAATGATACACTCTTTGCACACTGCACAGCAAAAAAAGTTGTTGAATATTACATCGAAACTGCTGCAACCAGGTCAATCCATCGGTTGCGTAATATCACATTGTACGATGTACATCGATTCTGCGAACAAAATTACATCGATTGATGTAATATTGTATCTGCTTTTTGCTATTACATCATTATTTCATACATCAGCTTGAATTACGTTGATCGATATTACATTTTTTTTGCTGTGTGTCAAAAATTAATTGTACACAAAATCAACTTTTTTCAAATCAAAACAAAAAAACTAACCCATCTGGTGGATGATGGCACAAGCTTCCAAGAAAATTCTATTACAGTGAACCACATTATTTTAATGGATTTCTTCGCCAGTTAGTCGTCTGTCACTTCGTTTGTGGTACGGTGCTGTCAAAACCTCAGCATCTCCAATGATCCATTATGAAGGTTTGGACTTGCCCAGATAATCAGATTAGCATAAAGTGTGTGGAAAGCTGAGGATTCAATAATCGTATGTTGCTATAATCGAACGGGTACTGTAAATAGAGATTTTCACGTCCGGATGTATTGGTGCGATATGTGAGAGCGTGTTAGTGAATATCCGAGGAAAATACATAACAAATCGATATCAAACTCATTTTTACAGATCTACTTTCATACATTTTTAGGTTAGCCAGAGGAAAATAATAAACAACTTTACACGGCGTTTCTCCCTCTAGTGTGCGTGTGTTAAACGTCACTAATCTCTATAGCATTATGTTGTAACGTGCATATTTACTCACAACTACTGAATAAACTGGACCTAAGTAACATGTTAAAATAATTATCAACAAGAAACATGTACCGCGGAACCGTTAATCTGAACGACACTTCGTTCTAGTAACCCTATGAGCATCAGAAAAGCGTATTTCTGGTAGCCTTATTTGCCGTTTCGTTTTGCAATGTTCCATATCAAATGGCGAATCTGCTTTTATGAACAATGGCGTTAGCCGTCGAGTTCTCGCGAATTAAAGCTCACGCATTCAAATTTACGACGCTATCAGGTAGAGGAATGTTTCTTTTATCTGCTAGTATCGTTCATTTGCATGTGTGTGCTTGCTAAAGCCATTATTTACAGAAGCAGATTCGCCCTTTTGGCATGACATTGGGATATAATGACGTTTGGGCAATTTTTAGGTTGCACTGCGTGCAGATTAGTGGGGTGCAAATTAAAAAGGGTCAGATTACCGAGGATCCACGGTACTGGATATTACAATTGGTTACCCTAGCCAATGTTTATGAATAAATTTAATAAATACCTAAATTATCTCCAAGTAATGTGAATAAAGTTCCATGAATCACAACCTTAGTTTCCTCAATAAGTATCTGCAGACCTTCGGTTTCTAATAGCTTTATGTCATCTATAAGAACCTTGAAGATAGATTCGACTCCATATAATTTTAGATCTTTTTCTAAGCACAGCAAAGCTAAGAAGCTATTTTCTGTTGTTGCCCGTAAGGCTGGATGCATGTTGCCGATAGTGAAGTATACTCCAATCAGCTTATGACGCGTCTTAGCATCACCCAATGGATTAACAGTACCGAAGCCATCTTGATATAAAAATATATGCACACTGTTGGTTTGTTGACAGAACATATTGTTTAAGAATCGAAGACCCTCTGTGTAGTTCGTCATATATCCGTCAATCTTTCTATGAGTGGTAAAAAGTGATGGGATGAGTTCGAATCCTCCATAAAATAACGATTCCAATGTTCGTAAAATAGGGACATAGTAAATGTAACGGTTGCTGTTAGCTGATATCTCTATTTGTACTGGTTCAACATAGCTGAAGTTATCTTTAAAATATTTTTTACGCATATGTTCCGAGCGAAATATTCCGTAGTCATGATTGAATAATATAGAATTGACATTTTCTGCTCCTAAATCATGCAAAATTTCATCAGTTTCGTATTCAGATAGTTGAAATTTGTTTGCAATTTTAGAAATCTTATGACGGTTGAATTTTTCTTGAGATGATGTTAGTTCAGCCATAGCATCGACAACTTGCTGCACAGCAACGCTCGTGACATGATGTTTAGATAGTAACCCTAAAAACATAGTTCCGAATGAATTCGCGGCATTCGAAATGTGCTGGTTTTCCTCAACATGAATTATCGATTCATTTTGATTTTCAAATACTGTAGAGCTTGTTGTACTGGGTGATTCGACGCAGTCTACTGGAGCACGTAAATTCTCGACGTTTTTGTGATAATATATGTTGTGTATCTTTAGAGCGTTCGCTGTTTCGAATGACTTTTTCCTGCACTTTAGAGGGCAATATACTGGAACACCTTCTGCCAAATGATCCTTTAGGTGTTTAGTCATGACTTCAAAACTGTCATGTAAAAAAAAACATTGATGAGCAGTACATTTGTATACAAACATATTCGAACTTGATATATGCATGTGTGATCTACCCAAATGTGATATAAATGTTGAATATTTTTTTATAGTGATGTTACAGCCATGAAGACCACACGAAAAAGATGTGTTGAACCTGTGGATATGCATGTGGCTTTGATAAATTGTCACATGGCTGAATTTTGAACCACAACATTTACAAGTGATATCCATCATATCTGGAAATTATAAAATGTAGGTTTATAGTTGATATTGTTACTGACACCATAGTACAACATTTATCATTTTTTGTTAAATTTATGTAGTACGGCTAGTATATTCATTAACTTATTTATTTGGTAATATCAACAGATTCAATTCACACACACATACACAGATAGTGCCACGTAGTGACGGAATTCCGAACCATAGCGGCCATCTTGTGGACGCCCTTGGTCTTTTGAAAAACTATGCTAAAGAGTCGAACTTTCTAGGTGGTCGGGTCGGGACCACAAGCTAAAACAAGTTCGTAGTGCCAGAATTCCGAACCAAACAGTCCATGTTGCAAACGCCCTTGGCTTTCTGAACAGCTTTGCTGAAGACTTGAACTTTCTAGGTGGTCGGAACCACAAGATAAAATGATCTTTTTTACATACACTAGTGCCACGTAGTGCCAGAATTCCGAACCATAGCGACCATCTTGTGAAGGCCCAAGACTCGAACTTTCTAGGTGATAAAACAAGTTCAAAAAATGGTCTTTTTTACAAGCACACTAGCGCCACTTAGTGACAAAATTCCGAACAAAACTGTCCATGTGCCGGATGGTCTTGGCCTTCTGAATAACTTTGCTGAAGACTTGAAATTTCTAGGTGGTCGAGATCACGAGATAAACAAGTTTAGAAATGCTACTTGAAGAATGATCAACATACCGGTACTGTGGCCGAACCTGACTTCATTTGGCATCGATTATTAGTGGCCAATCACGTAAAAACCGGTTTTACATACCAGAAACTCAAAATTTAGACTCTCACAAACAATTTGACCATATAAACATTTAGGTTTTAATGCAAAACACTTCTCCTAATATAGTTTGAAATCCGGGTCAATATGACTCGTAACACCACATTCGTAACTTTTTTTTTCTGTACCCCTTCAGAAACAATTTCAATGCAGAAATCTAGATTGATTTTAGAATATGTCCTATCTCCATGTGTCGATCAAAGAATCGATTAACTTTGTTCGGTTTGCAAATCCATCGGATATTGCAAATTCATCGCTCAGATCGCCATAGAAAGCGAATAAAGTTAATCGACAAATGAAGGACATATTCTAAAATCAATCGAGAAATGTTAGTTCTCAGAAATTAGGAGAAGTCAAGAAAAATCAGATCAGATAGTTGCTCACCATAAAAAGTTATACTGTTTCGAAAGTTCTTTTCGGGTCATATTGACCCTAACACCTAAAGAAGGTTTAACATAAATGTCTTCTATTGCTATAGGGTAAGTGAGCCAGTTATGGCACTAGTGCTCAAGGACAAAACTCAAATTTGAAATAAATTTTCCTGGTATGGTCCGCGTAGACATAGGTATGATAAAATGTATGTTCTAACCTTGCATGTTAATAATTTTGGATAAGAATGATAAATACTGAAAATTGAAATACAGATGGATCTCGATTTTGGCTACACAACTGCTTCATCATCAAGCTTAAATCAATGCTGACTATTTAAAGCTGAATTTACAAACCAAAGAAGGATCGAAAAGTTGTGGATCACCTGTGCTACCATGGGAAGGAAAGGGTTAATTGCTTGCATGCGTAATCGATCCAGGTTGCGTGTAAAGGTCCTACAAAAGTTTGTTCATAAATGTTTATGTGCCGTTTTAAAATGTTAGGCCTCCGTTCTTTGATTCAGGTTCAGTGTAAAATTGGATAACGATAACGTAAACACGAGTAATTTTGTTGTTGTTGTGAGGCAGCACAAATTTCCCGGTGTTCCCATTGAACTCCCGGTGATTTCAAATTCCTGGGTTTTCCGGCTTTCCCGGAATACCCGGTGGGCCAATATTAATACTGTTTAATACGACTGACACCATACAATTAGTTTGTTTTTTTTTCTTTTCAAAAAGCACTCACCTGTGTGTTCGCAGGATCTTGTCGGTCAATGGATATTATTACGGCATACACGACGCATCTGTAATTTTCAAAATTTACATGTGATACAGCGCTACATAAACATAATTTTTGGTGTACCTAGTACCTGTGATTGGGTGTCCGTTTAGCGTATTGCACGAGTGCTGCTCAGCAATGCGGATGGAGCTGTTCCTGCCGTGGTGTCACTGAAAGGATAAAAGATACAAATTACATTCATGTGCGAGAAGCTAAAACGGCGAGGAAGACGAAATTGTTTCTTGTTGGAATACAGTGGAGATTCGCTATTTGGGGGAGGTCTTTTCGTGTTTTTGACGTATTAAATCAACCGGAATGAGTGATTGAACCTAGGGGCGTATCACTTTTAAAATGCTTATTAACGATGTATTTAATAAAAAAAATGCATTTAATTTCCATCGTTTACATCAACCATTCAGTGGGATGTGAACGTCAAAACAAAGCAAGATATACAAACAAAACATGAAAAGAAAAATCGTCTATCCACACGATTTTGGTGGACCTCTAGTCTAGTTATATGCTGCGTTGCCAACGGAGGTTCCCAGGGAGTTTCGACGGTGTTTCCACGCATTTTCATCAGAGGAGCTTTGGCCAGTGAGGAGTTTGGATGCTGCCAACGGGATTTTCTCTCGTTCTCGGTGGAGGAGGTTCTGCATGAATTCTTTTGGAGACTTTTCTATATGCTGCAAATGCAGATTTTAGGAAAGTTTTTCTTGTACGTCGTTTGACTAAATTACGTAATTTTCGAATTACGTTTGACTAAATAAATAACAATTACAATTACAAACAGTATAACCAATAAAAAAATGTGAAAATACAAAATTTCGATGGCATTCTCTTGCGTTCATGGCGGACGAGGTTCCACACGGTTTCGGTGGCGATTTCTGATGCTTCCAGTGGAGATTCCAAATAATTTCGGTGGAAGTTTTCTGGTGTGCACGGTCGAGAAGTACGATTTCGGTGGATATTGTCGGTGCTAACAACGGATGTTCCAGGAAATGTCTATGTCGGGCCTTATTACGGGTGTCTCTACACGGTGATAAGGAAGTGATATTCAGAATTAGAGCCGTGATTGCCGTGCAAATCAAATGGGAATCACTTCACCGTGACGACAAGTGACAAGTTTTCACCGGGAAGTGACATCCGTAATAAGCCCCGTAATTTCCTCGTGTTTTCGGTGAAGATTCTGGTGGAGATTTGCTATGCTGCCAACGAAGGTTCAACGGAATTTTGCCGGGGTTTTCTCGCGTTCTCGGTGAAGCGGGCTTAGCACGATTTCGGAGAAGGTTTTCGATGTTGACACTGGAAGTTCCGGAGGCAGCTTCTGCACTATTTCGTTTGAGATTTCCGTTACTACCGGAGGAGGTTGCAGGGATTTTCTAGTAAGCTTATGCGTGTTCACGGCGGAGAGAATACCTTAGCATGATTTCGGTGGATATTTTGTATGTTACGGATGTTCCGGGGAGATTCGACAGTGTTTTCAAATGTTCACGTCGGATAAAGTTCCCGGTGATTTCGATGGAGATTTTCGCTGCTGTCAACGGAGGTTCCAGTGGGTTTCATCAGAGTTTATTTCGTCCGATGCTCCCATCGGTTACAGGGAATTTCGACGGATTTTTTCCGCATTCTCAGTCGAGGAGATTCAGGAAAAAAATTCTCTAGTCAGGAGTCTGGATTTGAGCTAACCGATGTGAACAACAACATGTTTTGGTAGGAACTGTCACTTAGAGCATCACGCTACAAAAAATGCACTAAGAGAATGCATTTATTTTTTTTGTTTCTAGTCAAAATGCATTTATTTATGTTTTATTGTAATAAATGCACCACAAGTGATCTACCCCTAGGATTGAACCATTCAAAAACAAAATTAAGCATAATTTTACTTACATGTAGATTTTAGCTCGACGCTGACGAAAAAAAAAACATTCACTCCCGACAACAAACAAACTTAAAATGGCGCATCAATCATCATCAGAACGAAGTTTGGCAGTGTTGCGAGATTTAATATAGCATCAACATTATATGATATTACACAAATTTTGTGTAATATTACACAACTATTTTGGAATGACTTGGTTGCATCTGATTCTGTGTAATAATTATGTTATTAATATGTGAATATTACACAGATGCAACGTAATGGACAATGGTAATTTTGTTTCGGTGTAATTTAAGGAGCGATGTAATAGGACATCCAAATGGATGTTATTATACATCTACTTTTCTTGATTACATCCATTTTGTTGTACATCATGTGAATTACGTTGATGCATATTACTTTTTTTTTTGCTGTGTAGGTGGTTAGACCAAGTGGAGCAAGATGTAGGAAGTGTGGGATGCTCGAGAAATTGGAGACAAGCAGTCAGGGACCGAGTTAGTTGGCGCAACTTTGTTATACAGGTCAAATCTTGAGGGACGTCGGACCAGCAAAAGTAAAGTAAGTATCTTATACGTTTGCCAACATTCCACGACAATATATGATTAGGTTTTCACTTGGTATGTAATGAACAACAGAGATACGCGATAATTCGTATAGTTTCTGCGATTGATGGTTAATTTTAAATGTACGTATAGTACTATATAACAGCATAACTGGATCGTCATGTTCACCATCTGTCATTGTCTGCAAAAATATTTAATAGCAGTTACCTGTGTTGTGATACTTCCTTCAATGAAAACTAATTTTCTTGCATTGCCATGGTCATCTGGGATGAGGCTGGTCCACTGATCATTCGGAATGAGCTCTCCACACATCATTGAATCAATATAGGATCAATGTAGATATGTAGATATCAATGTACATAGATGGTGTCATATGCAAAGTGCGAAAAGAGAATGAAAGAAATACGAAAAAGATTAGCATCAAGAAGTAACAGTTTCATCGGATTAGTCACCAAGTCCCCCACCACTGCTATCTGCAGCCCTATCACTCCCATCCCCACGATTGCGGAAGAGAATAATAAAGTTCTTGATTTAATTTAAAGAAATTAATATTTAATATCGGGATCCGTATTCGGTTTCCCCATCGGAATCCGTATTCGGTTTCCCCATTGGGACACGTACTCGGTTTCCCCATCGGGATCCGTATTCGGTTTCCCCATCGGGATCCGTATTCGGTTTCCCCATCGGGATTCGTATTCGGTTTCCCCATCGGGATCCGTCTACGGAATCCCTATTGGGATGCGTATTCGGTTTCCCCATCGGGATCCGTATTCGGTTTCCCCATCGGGATCCGTATTCGGTTTCCCCATCGGGATTCGTATTCGGTTTCCCCATCGGGATCCGTCTACGGAATCCCTATTGGGATGCGTATTCGGTTTCCCAATCGGGATCCGTATTCGGTTTCCCCATCGGGATCCGTATTCGGTTTCCCCATCGGAATTCGTATTCGGTTTCCCCATCGGGACCCGTCTACGGAATCCCCATCGGGATGCGTATTCGGTTTCCCCATCGGGATCCGTATTCGGTTTCCCCATCGGGATCCGTATTCGGTTTCCCCATTGGGACACGTACTCGGTTTCCCCATCGGGATCCGTATTCGGTTTCCCCATCGGGATCCGTATTCGGTTTCCCCATCGGGATTCGTATTCGGTTTCCCCATCGGGATCCGTCTACGGAATCCCTATTGGGATGCGTATTCGGTTTCCCCATCGGGATCCGTATTCGGTTTCCCCATCGGGATCCGTATTCGGTTTCCCCATCGGGATTCGTATTCGGTTTCCCCATCGGGATCCGTCTACGGAATCCCTATTGGGATGCGTATTCGGTTTCCCAATCGGGATCCGTATTCGGTTTCCCCATCGGGATCCGTATTCGGTTTCCCCATCGGTATCCGTATTCGGTTTCCCCATCGGGATCCGTATTCGGTTTCCCCATCGGGATCCGTATTCGGTTTCCCCATTGGGACCCGTACTCGGTTTCCCCATCGGGATTCGTATTCGGTTTCCCCATCGGGATCCGTCTACGGAATCCCTATTGGGATGCGTATTCGGTTTCCCAATCGGGATCCGTATTCGGTTTGCCCATCGGGATCCGTATTCGGTTTCGCCATTGGGACCCGTATTCGGTTTGCCCATCGGGATCCGTATTCGGTTTCCCCATCGGGATCCGTATTCGGTTTCCCCATTGGGACCCGTACTCGGTTTCCCCATCGGGATCCGTATTCGGTTTCCCCATCGGGATCCGTATTCGGTTTCCCCATTGGGACCCGTCTCGGTTTCCCCATCGGGATCCGTATTCGGTTTCCCCATCGAGATCCGTATTCGGTTTCCCCATCGGGATTCGTATTCGGTTTCCCCATTGGGATCCGTCTACGGAATCCCTATTGGGATGCGTATTCGGTTTCCCCATCGGGATCCGTATTCGGTTTTCCCATTGGGACCCGTACTCGGTTTCCCCATCGGGATCCGTATTCGGTTTGCCCATCGGGATCCGTATTCGGTTTCCCCATCGGGATCCGTATTCGGTTTCCCCATTGGGACCCGTACTCGGTTTCCCCATCGGGATCCGTATTCGGTTTCCCCATCGGGATCCGTATTCGGTTTCCCCATTGGGACCCGTCTCGGTTTCCCCATCGGGATCCGTATTCGGTTTCCCCATCGGGATCCGTATTCGGTTTCCCCATCGGGATTCGTATTCGGTTTCCCCATCGGGATCCGTCTACGGAATCCCTATTGGGATGCGTATTCGGTTTCCCCATCGGGATCCGTATTCGGTTTCCCCATTGGGACCCGTACTCGATTTCCCCATCGGGATTCGTATTCGGTTTCCCCATCGGGATCCGTATTCGGTTTCCCCATCGGGATTCGTATTCGGTTTTCCCATCGGGATTCGTATTCGGTTTCCCCATCGGGATCCGTATTCGGTTTCCCCATCGGGATTCGTATTCGGTTTCCCCATCGGGATTCGTATTCGGTTTCCCCATCGGAATCCGTCTACGAAATCCCCATCGGGATCCGTCTACGGAATCCCCATCGGGATCCGTATTCGGTTTCCCCATCGGGATCCGTATTCGGTTTCCCCATCGGGATCCGTCTACGGAATCCCTATTGGGATGCGTATTCGGTTTCCCCATCGGGATCCGTATTCGGTTTCCCCATCGGGATCCGTATTCGGTTTCCCCATCGGAATTCGTATTCGGTTTCCCCATCGGGACCCGTCTACGGAATCCCCATCGGGATGCGTATTCGGTTTCCCCATCGGGATCCGTATTCGGTTTCCCCATCGGGATCCGTATTCGGTTTCCCCATCGGGATTCGTATTCGGTTTCCCCATCGGAATCCGTCTACGAAATCCCCATCGGGATCCGTCTACG